AGTGCCCTGGTAGATGGGAAGCCAGGCCTTCCTGGACCAGGTAGATGCAGTGTACGCAGGAGATCTCCCACTGCCAAGTCCCTGGCTGGCTCCTGCCTCATCTCAGGTGTCGGATTCAGGTAGCCATGACTGAGGGTCTTCCGTGCATGAAGCTCAGAGCTGGAGCTTTTAGTCTTCCAACCACCCTGCAAGTATAGGATGAACCCCATTTATTGCCAGGAAAACTGGGCCCTGCCCCAGAGCTCCTTGGCGAGCTAGGCGTGGGATATGGTAAGTTTGAGTAGGGCAGGTTGGCATAAGTATCAATGGCAAGAGCGTTTTGTTTTTAGATTGCATTGCCTTTGAAACAGATCTTGTCTGTGAGCCTTGAAGGTGGGGTTAAGGGGTGAGCTTTTCTCCTGGGCCAAACTGCTGCTTTGTGGGAAGGTTCTGCCCAGTGTCCCCTGGGAGGGACACTGGGCAGAATGTCCTTGAGTTTTTATAGAACTCTGTCATTTGTCAAAGGCCTGGTCACACTGTTTGATTTGCTGTTTGGCAGGCTCAAGGGAGGCAGACAGCATGGAATCCTAAATGGGAATGTACCTGCGGCCAGGAGGCTCCTTCTCTCATTTGGAGAAGTGCTGGGGGTTCTGCACAGACCTTGACCTTGTCTCTTGGCCACTGTGGGCTGAGCCCATTACCAAGGCTGTTGCCTGCAATCTGAGGCCCTGAGTTTAAATTTGTAGCAGGCAGGGGCAGGGAGAGGGAACTGCTTTGTGACTCATGAAGTCACATAGGCTGAGGAGCAGAAGAACCACAAATAAGGGACTTCATTTGGCAGAAACCAGATTGCTTCAAGGCTATTCTTGGAAATGAAAGCATCACATCTTGTTTCTTGCCAGAAAATGCAGAAACCTTTCATATTTCTGGTTTTATTTCAATTTCATATCAAACTCCAAAAAGGCAGCATTGGGTCGTGGTTAACAAGGACGACTTTAACAAGAGTTAGTCACCCAGGATGCTCTGCTTTGAAAAGGAAAACTAAAAAAACCCTTGACCACCTTCTTTTTGGGCAGGGGATGGCAGGTATCCACCAAAGTTATTACACCCCAGTTCTCAGAATGAAAAGGCTTGAAGCTTAGACTCAAACTCACTGAGTCCTTCTAAGAGCTAGGTGAGCCCTTTCCCATTCCTCACCAGCACAGCGCTGCACCCCAAATGTGTGCAGTCCACCACCAAAACCCCTCTGTGTGATGTTCCCCACTTCACATATGGGGAACTGGCAACTCAGAAGCTAAGTGATGTGTCCAAGGCTACACAGCTAGGATGTGGGTTTGAACACAGATCTTCTAAATTGAAATCCTTGTCCTCTAGTTTTAAAGTATACAGGTGGCGTATCCCTAATCTGAAATCCAAAGTGCTCCAAAATCTGAAATGTTTTGAGTGCTGACATGACACTCAAAGGAAATGCTCACTGAAATATTTCAGATTTTGGATTTGATATGCTCAACTAATAAGTAGGATGCAAATATTCCAAAATCCAAAAAAATCCAAAACTCTAAATACTTCCGGTCCCAAGCATTTTGGACAAGGGATACTCGACCTGTATATAATTCCTTGACTTGGAAAGCTAGTCTCAGTAGTCATGAATTGTGTTCTTTTCCCCCTTCCTTTTGATTTGATGATGTTCGGGCCATTTGAAGAATAGTAATGAGTACTGATTATCATGTATCCACAAAGTACTAAGTACTGCACATGCCTGATCTCACTGATTCCCTACAACCCCATGGCGTGTGCAATACAGTCAGCATTCTGTACCCATGGGCTCCACAACCATGGATTCAACTCACTGCAGATTGGAAATATTCAGGAAAAAAATGGATAGTTGTGTCTATATTGAACATGTACAGACATTTTTTCTTGCCATTATTTCCTGAACAATACACTATAACAACTATTTACATAGCATTTACATTGAATTAGGTATTATAAGTCATTTAGAGATGGTTTAAAGTATATGGAAGGGTGTATGTAGGTTATATGCAAATACTATACCATTTTATATAAGGTACTGGAGCATATGTGGATTTTTTTTTTTTTTTTTGAGATAGGATCTTGCTCTGTTGCCCAGGCTAGAGTGCAGTGGCATGATCATAGCTGACTGCAACTTCAAACTCTAGGGCTCAAGCAATCCTCCTGCCTTAAATTCAGCCTCCCAAGTAGCTGGGAATACAGGCATGTGCCATCATGCCTACCTAACATTTTTATTTTTTGTAGATACAGATTCTCACTATGTGGCCTAGGCTGGTCTGGAACCGGCCTCAGGCAATCTTCCCTCCTCAGCCTTTCAAAGTGCTGGGATTATAGGCATGAGCCACCGTGTCTAGCTGCACACGTAGATTTTGGTATCTGCGTGAGGTCCTGGAACCAATCCCCCACAGATACAGAGGGAAGACTGCATTATTCCCATTTCACAGATGAGAAAACTGAGGACAGATAGATGAGATAACTTGCCTGGGGTCACACCACTAACAAGTGCTTGAGATCAGATTTCTACCCAGGTTTGCCTGACTCTGAACACTCTGATGTTCTCCCATGAGGAAAGCTACCTTCCACGGATGTTAGTCATTTTTAAGGTCCTTGACTTACATTGGAAAGCCGACTTTAAAGCTGAGACTGGACTGTTTAGGTCTAGGGAGGCAGGTCTGAGCCTGGTACGGGCTGCCGGGTAGCGTCCAAGCCCCGCTTATCTTCTCCTGCCGAGCCATCTCCCTCCACCTCCCCTATCTCACTCCAGATAAAAGCCAGTTCCTCCCACACCCACCCCAGCCCTCAGCACCATCTTTGGCTCTTTCTCCACCCGAGCTCTAAGATTAAGTTATTCGTTCTTCTTTTTGAGGAGGAGGGGAGGCACTTGCGGTGGGGAGGAGACACAGGTTCTTCCAGTTTGTAAATTATTGTCTAGGAGTCAGGCCTGGCTTGATACCTCCATACAGTTTATGATTTTAGACAAGGAGGAGGTGACAACTTAGAGAACTGATTTACAAAACTATTTTTCAAACTGGTGCATTCCTCCAGCTACAGATCTGCCTTGTGTGGCAGGTGCACTGAGAGCCTCCCTGGGCTGGGCTCTGCCATCCATGTTTCTCACCCTTCATGGCAACCCTGCAAGGCCGAGATTACTGTCCATCTCTTGCAAAAGAAGAAACTGAGGCCACATGGGCAGCGAGGGGCCAAGTTGAGCTTTTGGACTCAGCCTCCAATAGCTCCAAAGCCTTGTGGTTTTCTCTGTTCCACCGGCCTGTCCTCAGAAAGGACCGCAGGGTAGCAGACAAATTCAAGTAGCCTTGTATTTGTCAGCTGCTGCATCCTTTCTTCAATGCTGGGCACAGAAGTGGTTCCAAAGACAGACAAAGGCTGAGAATGTGAACACGCTCTGAAAGCAAGCGAGGCCTGCCTCTGTCGATGCTCCCTGGGTAGCAAGTGTCACTCGTGGGGATGCTGAGACACAGTGGGAGGTGGTGGTGATGTGAGAAGTTCCACAGTGAGCACAGTGGACATCCAAGAGCCCAGAGAGCATCCGGGAGGGAATCGTGCTCATCGTGCCCGGCAGGGCGCAGAGCTGTGTCCCCAGTCTGCTGAAGGCGTTGAGTGCCGAGGACAGGGTAGCCAGGCAAGGCCTCATGGAGGATCCAGCCAGGCAAGGCCTCATGGAGGATCCAGCCAGGTAAGGCCTCGCGGAGGATCCAGGGCTTGTGTGATGCCCGACTCTTGCTAAGGCACTAATAATTGCTGGTGGATGAACGTGTAAGAGATTAAGGAAGAAGATAAACACCGTTCTCTGCTTTTAGTATCATAAAAGCATCCCACAATCCAAATGTACCACACTAAGCATCCCTGTGTAGAGAGTGTGGAGCTGCCACGAGGGCCTTGTGTCCCGTGGGGTTGCCGGGCTCCTCTGGCTGGGACTGTTGGGGGGCTCGGTCTGCTGCGCCCTCTTGTTTACAGACACCCCCGAACCCTCCCGACAGCCGGGTCAGCCCCAGTTCCTCCACACTTGTTTTCTTGCTCTAGCTTTGGATTCTGGAAAAACAGTGCTTTGGAAAACCAGTTCTACTTTATTTTTGTTCCTTTGAAACTTAAATGACTTTCCTAAGACATGCCTGAGGTTAGAGCGATGCGGAGAGAAAGGTCTACGGCCAAAACCCAGGGAGCTATTTTTGTGATGTGAATGAGCGCCCTTCGCGTTCCCCTCCCGCCAGCCCGAGCACTTGTTCCAGATAGTTGGTGGCCCAGCTGATGGAGCACAGGCTCCGTCTCCACGTCGGGAGGGTGGCCCGCATGTCCCTTTGTCTGGCCTTGTGTCTGACTGAGGTAGGTGTGTGTTCCCAGCGGATTCCAGGAACAGAAGAGTTTTGAGAAGCTGCCATTTGTCATCTGCATGGGGAAAGACCTGCCCTCTGGTAACTAACGAAGAAAGACCTTGCAGTTTGATGTCTAAGGATAGGTGGGATGGTCCTGAAACCCAGAGGCCTGTGCTTTGGATTTTTTTTTTTTTTTGTCTGTGCATGATGTAATGGGGCTAGGCTGTGTTCATTCAATCCCTTTGCAGCACTAAGAATGGTAGGTTTGCAAAGGTGCTAAATCCAGTAGACTTTTCTATTTTTTTCCTTTTACTAGTTACTATTTCCATAAACATCTGCTTTGTAGCAAGATTGACCAGGTACTGGTCATCAGTCAGGGTATGGCATCAGTCAGGGTATGGCATTGTATAGTCTGGGTTCCTTCCAGCCAGCAAGAGGAGGGGGTGTAGGGGAGAGGCTGCCAGCCAGGCCACCTTGCCAGGTGAGAAAGCATGAGTGTACATTTCATTTACATGGTTTGTGCTTAGCACTGAGCACTAAATATTATGGTTAATATTTTAGTGTCTTAAGGGAATTTTATTTTTACCTCTCATCACCCACCCCAGCCCCACCCTCAGTGCCCATGAAGCTCACCCCTGCCTCCATCTGCCTTTGCAGGTGTGACGTTTCTCCAGGTACTTCATGGTGTTCTCCTCTGTCGTCTGCACACGGCTCCTGAACCATGGGGGAAAACGAGGATGAGAAGCAGGCCCAGGCGGGACAGGTCTTTGAGAACTTTGTCCAGGCATCCACGTGCAAAGGTACCCTCCAGGCCTTCAACATCCTCACGAGACACCTGGACCTAGACCCTCTGGACCACCGAAACTTTTATTCCAAGCTCAAGTCCAAGGTGACCACCTGGAAGGCCAAAGCCCTGTGGTACAAATTGGACAAGCGTGGCTCCCACAAAGAGTATAAGCGAGGGAAGTCGTGCACGAACACCAAGGTAAGGGGAAGTCCCTGCGTGGGCATTTCTTACCTTTGCAGGGTGTACAGGTTGGAGGGTAAGGAGGCTGTGGCCATTTTGCCATTCTAAGGTTCTTCAGTAGATGTGGGTGTGAATGTCGTATTGTTTTGCTCAGGTGAAGGTTTCCTTTGTCTATACATGCCACCTTTTCCCCGTTGGGAGTTTCCGTCTTATCACGGTGGCTTCAGCAACCTTTCTTGTGCCCTCTCCAAGGCAGGGAAGGCCCAACCGAAGGCAAGGTCAAGGGAGAGAAGCAAATACCTGATGTTATCCTACTTCTGCTATCACTGCTGCCACTACTACTTCCAGTAGCTGTTATTTATTGAGTGACTACTGTGTGCTAGGCACTTTATATCCATGGTCTTGTCGCATAGCAATCCTCGGGGCCATTTTAGAGGTGTGGAAATTGAGAAGTCAGTTGTCTTGCCCAAGGTCACATAACTGGAGGGCAACCTTGATCTGTCTGATTCCAGGGCTTAAGTCCCCCAATCCCAAGGACAGGCATAATTAGAGAGTTGTGTTCCCCTGAGTACAAATGTTTTGGAAAGATCCTCTGGTTTTGAATTAACACATTGCCACACCACACAAAAAAATTTCCCTGGGGCCATGGTATTTTATTACAAAAATAGAATGAAAACTTTAAAAATAATTTTTATAATTTATGAAAAATTTGTCCTTTTTTATTATTTCTGTGTGTGAGTTATATGCAACTTGAAAAATAGTTCATAAGGGTAAAGGTAAAGAGACGTGTGAGTTACATATGCTTCACAAGGCCTCTGGCTCAAAACTAGCATGAGTTAAATACAACTCACATGGCAGTTAATGTGTTAATTGGCGAGTAGATCTTTGGTCATTACTGCCTTTTTCTCCCTCTCTCATTCTGTCCCTCCTGACACCTCTGTGTTCACCTGCCTGCCCCCTTCCCCAGGATACATTTCCCTGCTTAGGATCAATCGAGTAGTTAACCCTTACAAACTGGTTGTATCCCCCGCTGTGTGGCCACAGACAGCATCCATGAAGGCTCGCCAGCGCATCGCACCTCTGATAGCTCTGAAATGCCCCCAACAATGGGCAGCTAGAAGTCAAGGCTTCCCAGCTGATTTCCTGGGTGGCTCCTGGGGCTGTCAGCCCTGGGCGCTGGTCCAGGCCGTGTGTTTAGGTTAAAATTGAACGTGCTGTATTTAGACCTCGCAGGAGGTAGGTCAGCCAGAGCCCTTGGAATTCCAGTCGGTGCCAATCCCAGGACAAGAGGATTGAACTCTCCATGGCAATCGGGCTGTTGTGTTTTTGTTTTGGTGATGAGAAGCTGTAGAGTCCACTGTGGGATACTTTCCACTGCCCTGGGGAGACAGCTGCCAAACCCTTCCAAGCCCGGGGCGCACCAACTGTACTGTACGGGACGGGACGTAGGCAGAACATTCCATCAGGCTGAAACAGACCGATTGCCTCAGCCCGGAGCAGCAGACCAGCCATCCAGGCAGTGTCTGCCCCTGGCCTACAGAGCTCTGGCGGCAGGCAGAGGAGAGGGGGTGGGAGAGAAAGGAGAGGGGAGGACAGGGTGGGACCAGTGTCCTGGGCACCACTCCTCCCAGTGCCTGCCTGCCCCATTGTCGTAACTTCATGGTTCATAGTTCACTGGGCAGCTCTTCAGAGTTAGAGGAGGGGAAGCTTGCAGCCTTCAAAGCGTCACCCTTCTCTGTAATTGTATATGGTGGCTTTGCTTTTGCAAGTTCCCATAAAAGTCAGATGGCCCGACTGAGTTGTGTTCTCTCTCAGAGGGTGTCCAGGGCTCCTGTTTTATTAGGAAGTGCAATTGCCCCATACACCCAACACTCTGTGGCTGCCGAGGGACTCTCTTGGTGACCGAAATACAGATCTTCAGAGGGAGTCAGCCAGCAGAGGGCTGGAATAAAGGGCTGACCACTGAGAAGAGGCCCGTCTTTCAAAAATCACTCATCAGTTGCCTAGCCTGTCTGGCCAGCTCCCATTTTATGAGCTTTGATAGCTTGAAATAGCACAGCTATCTTGTGGTTGGCAGGGCACCCCTGGCACCTGAGATACAAAGGGGAAGAAAACGTCTGTAGTTAGTGGTGCTAAGAGTGCCTCTTGCCCTGGGATGGCTACGCCTTTCTTGTGGGAAGGAACAAAGACATTTCAAATGAGGGATAGCCCATCTCATAAAAACCACCTGGGTGCTGGGGAGTAGAAGATATATTAGAAAATGCTCTGTACATATGGACGGTGACTGTGTTAGGTCACTTGAGCTGCCCTTTTCAGCAACTCAGCTCAAACTAACCAAACAAAATGGAAATCATTAACTCCTCTAAATAGGAAGATCCGCACACTCGGAGTCTTTCTCCTTCTGTCCGTAATTGGGGTGCTTTGCTTTTTGTGGGCTCCATTCTTCCCTCCTGCAAACAGACTTTTCTCCCTGTTGGTAGCCTTTCATTCATGTCTGTAGAGCTCTCTGACCCAAAAGGCTAGAATCTTCCTCTTCCAGCTCAATATTGAAAAAAATCTCAGAGGAGGATTCTGATGGGCCCACCTCTGGGTTTATTACGGCCAAGGCCGGGGGAACTGGCTGCTGTGATTGGCAGCCCTTCAAGCGTCACACAATGGACGTGAGGGAGGAGCAGGTCCCCACAGACGTGGGAGTGTGGGGCAGGTAAACAACAGGTGCCCTCTACACAGGCTGTTTACTTGTAGTCTGCTTATAGTGGAGGCCCTGATGGTTAGTACCCCGCTCTGTGAGGCCGGCGCCTGTACTCCTGTTGCGAGTTAGGCAAAGCACGGAACGGGGCCTCTCTTCCATCGTGAACAGACACTGTCTTGTTCACACACCGCATGTAGGTACCTTTGGTGTAATGGCTTGTGCTGAGCCAGACAAGAGATCCTGGGCATTAGCATACAGGTGGCTGATCATTAATGCTAAGCAGATGACACAAGTGTATCAGGTACCAGGCATAAAGCCAAGCTCCTGGTTAGCCATAGGTAGAGCAGGAACATATGAAACTCAGCCAGAGCCCCTATCTTTGCACCGATGTGGACGCATCTCAGTACCGCCTGGGGTGGATCAGGGCCTCAGCATGTGTCTCACAAGCATGTGGCAGCCGCTTAGCACTGTGCTGCTGCATTCATGCCATCAGTGAGTGAGTGAGTGAGTATGCTCATGCTTGTGCATGTGGTGATGGTGGTGCCAGATTAGGGACCAGGATCTATTATTAATAATATCTGGAGAAGAAGGGCTCTGGTAAGGTGCCAGGGGACAAGGAGAATGGCCTGGAATGTCCTTAGAGCAATGGCTCAGGTGCTAGTTGCATAATCTGACTTGAGATCATTGTTTATTATTGATTATTATTTATAAGGGTTTTGACAGGCACTTAATAATTCTTTCCCTGGGTGTGACTCTGTTTGGATAAGAATGAGGTGAACCAAGCACCAAGACAAATTAACTCTTTCAGGACTGATGCTGGCTCTGCAGTAGGGTAACACCTGGCTCAAATGTCACATCCAGTGCTCACAGGGAAAGCAACCTGGAAACCTGGAAGAACCTGCAATGCATAATTTGGTATGGGAAATGCCATCATCACAAAATCATGGACTCTGGTTGTTTGAATATAAATCTTTAATGCTGAAAGGAACTTAAGCAAATGTTATGTACAATCTCTGCATTTGATGGGTGACAGATGGCGGCCCAGGCATCTGAAGCTATTTAGCTGAAGCTAGTGAGTGGCAATGCTGGGACTTGGACTCTATTAACTGTTTTGCTTTCATAGTCTTTTGTTCATTCATTCATTCATCAGCATGTGTTTCCACTGCCCTACGCCTTACTAGGTATTTGGCAGGGAGGATAGTTTTAAAGATGAATAAGAAGTGGTTCTCACTTGAGTTTTTTGTAAAGGAGATAGAAATGTAATTATTTCTGCATTTGTTCACTTATTTAATCATTCATGAGGTGAATAATTATTGAGCAACTACTATGTGCCAGGTGTTTGTGTAAGTAGCTACCAGCCACTTAATAGCTCTGTGGCCTTGAGCAAGTTACTTAAAATCTCTGATCCTCAGTAGCATTCTCTGTAAATCAAGGGTAATAATGGTTCCTATGTCATGGAGTTACTAAGGATTAAGTAAGGTAACCTTTGAAAAACATTTGGAGTGCTGCCTGGTATTCTGGTAAGTGATCGGCAAACATTTAGCCATTGTGGCCGGGCGCGGTGGCTCACGCCTATAACCCTAGCACTCTGGGAAGCCAAGGCGGGAAGATGGCTCGAGGTCAGGAGTACAAGACCAGTCTGAGCAAGAGTGAGACCCTGTCTCTACCAAAAATAGAAAAATTGTCTGGACACAGTGGCATGTGCCTATATTCCCAACTACTTAGGAGACTGAGGCAGGAGGACCACTTGAGTCCAGGAGTTTGAGGTTGCAGTGAGCTATGATGATGCCACTGTACTCCAACCTGTAGTGACAGAGTGAAACTTGTCGTAAAAAATAATTCAACTATTATTAATATCCTAAGTGCTGGGAGAGAGGTATGTACACTGTTCTGGCGGAGTATAGAAAAACAAGTAACTATGCCTGGGGTAGTCTGGGAATGCTTCCTGGAAGAGGAGGTATGATGTGGGGCTGGACAAATGAGTATGAGTTCGCCATGTAGAGCTAAGGAAGCACTAGAGGGAGCACAGGAAGAATGACATATCCTAGGAAGAGTGTGGTGTGTTGCTTGTGTCATGGGAAAAGAAGGAGTGTGTGGGGAGTGGGGAAAGGGGGAGAGCCAGAGAGAGAGGAATGGGAGGATGGGAGGAGAAGACAGGGAGAAGGGCCTCCTGGACCAGGGTGTGAATAGAGGGGCCCGTGCGCAAACAGAGGGCCTGGGAAACCATTGACACTGAGCCCCCGGCTCCCAATCCTGTACAGGGTTCTTCTCACCACCCTCCTTAGAGTCACTCGGTAATCGCAGGTGACCATTTCAGACCAGGAGG